TATTTGAGATTCCCCAAACTTATCCTTCCTCTTCCTCAAAGATTAAAATCTTTTTCTTCCCACCAGGATCTGTGTCCTTGCCCTCTTCAAGTTTCTGCCTACCATAGTTTTGCATCATCTAGAGATGATTGCTCTGTCTCTGAAATATGATGACAATTTGTCCTGCTCACATTTCTTTTATCATAGAATACCTTGTGTTGATACCCCTGTCTGTGACTGATCTCTCTTGAAAGTTTGTAATTTCCCTATGGGCAAGGAATCTTTTAAATATTTTTGCATTGTTCACAGATGCTTGCCCACAGAGTAGATGTACTGAGTGAATGATTATTTAATTGTACAGAAAGGTAAGTGTGCACTGAATAAATATTGCTTGAATGAAGACCCCATTCATTAGAAAACAATTTTTGGTGCAGTGGCTGGGCCCAACAAAAATGGATTTGAATCAGTTTTGGTTTGTCCCATGGGTTATTTGCTGTCCTTGAAATATAATTTTCCTGACTCCCTGCATTGTGAGTTGACATAGTACATGCTTGATGGAGAGATATGCATTGAAAAATTTCTTTCTTTGCCATAAATTTGTTTATTTATTTGTAAAATTTTTATTTTTAATGGATAAATAATAATAAAGTATTTATGGGGTGTAATATGATATTTTGATATATGTTTACAACAGTGTCTGAAGGGTTTTGTTTCAGGTTGTCAGATGCATGTGGAAAGAAAAGAATGGTTGATGTCTCCTAAAAAGAGAAAAGAATGTAGACAAAAACTTCATGTGGTAAAAGATGAATGTGTGATATTGGTTCAAGTTTTATAATGAAGAAAAATATGTGTACTTAATTATTAATCAGTACTGACATGAGTTGAGAAGTCCAGGCACTCATTCTGGCAAACAGAGCAGTGATGCCTAAAGCTGCCCCTTTAGTAGCAAAAACATCAGGTTCTCTTAGTTGTAACGATTATCATAAGCCTTTCAAGTCTTTGTAAAAGTGGTCTCAACTGTCAGAGGTTTCAGATTTCTAACAAGTTAAACTTTTACTTTGCTTTTGATTGAGGCAATTATCAGTTAGCAGGTAATAGGAAGTGAGGCTGGATGTAATACCTGCCCACTCATCATGCTTACTGGGACTTTATATCTACTCTCTAATGTCCCAAGGAGCAGCTACATATTTTACTTTTTGTTGCTACATTTCACTGCTGGAGAGGATATGTGACATAGTGGGAAGTACACATGCATTGGGGTTTGCCAGACTTAATTTAGAACCCTGATATCTCCACTTAGCTAGGTGATAGCAAGTTTGAACTTTTCTTTTCTTATTTTGAACTTAAGGATAACAGCATTACTAAGTTATTTTGGACTTTAATGATCACCATTGATGTTAATACCATCATCATTGTCCTCATAGCTGGAAGGCACCATTTATTGACCTCTTTATTATGTATCAGGGATTGTTCCAAGTGCTTTACATGGATTAATTCATTTAATTCCTCAAAAACATCTTAGTAAGGTATATAATACTATTATCTTCATTTAAAACATGTAATATAATGCCAGGCATATTATTGGTATATGAATTTTTATCATCATCACCATCACTATTATTTAATAACAACTATTATCTTCTAGACTAAGTATGGCCTAATATTGTTTTAAAATTCTATTTCAAGAAAATAAGTTACAGAATGTCATCATTGAACGGAATTAAATTTGGAGTTTATCTAGTCTATTTTTTTAAAACCAGAAATTGTTGTTCCTGTGATCCATACATCAAACATAAAAAAGCATAATTATTATATTTGAATAAGGGACCAGGGACTTGAACTCTGTGTAACAACTTATTTGTACCCAGGGTTCTTTGAAGCAGTTTGAAACTTACTTAGTATACATACCTAAGTAGGCAGAGTGATTTATAGTGTTTGTTAACTACAGACTCTGAATTATACATTAGATCTCTTGATTTATAGGTGCTGTGTTTTCCCTCAGACCATAATATGTGATGTGTTATAGTGATTATTATTCACTGAAATGTACTGATTTAAAGATGATAAAGAGCCCTCATATACTTTATTATATTTGAACTTTATAATGTTTATGTAACCCATTCCCCCTAGTTCACTCCAAATGCTATCTAATGTATAAACAGTTTCTTTTGAAAATTTTGTGTAGGGAGCTGGCCATAGCATAAAGGGCACCAACCAGAAACCAGCGAAACTGAAAAGAGTGTGATGCCATTGAAATAAGCAAATACACTGGAGTTGGCATTTGCCTGGAGAGCAAGACTCTGGTAGTTTGGGATTTGGCTTCTAATGGATACTGTGAAAAAAGATAGGAGAGAGCTCAAATCTCAGTGCCACCAAAAAAAAAAAAGAAAGAAAAAAGACAGGAGAGACCCTGGGGCTAATTTGAGGTGCTTAAATAAGAACCTGGAAGGTGAATCCCCTAATGGGTGAATTAAGAAAAATCCACTGCGAAAAAGGAAATTTTATTTTTCATTCTTGACTCTAGATTAGGGTCTAGAGGAGAAAAGTTTGCATACTTGAAGGCTGAGAGCTAGAATTATCATTCCTGTGTGGCTCAATTCTCATTCTCGAGGCAAAAGTATAGTTTAAAGTGATGTTGTATTGATAATTCCTTCAGGCAACTATAGAGGAAAATACAAACACTTTCTAAAGAAATACAATTTTAAAACCCCAAACCTCAAATCATTCCCACAAATTAAATTCTAAAGAATATGAGCCCTACAAATAATCACTCAAAATGTAATAAACCATCATGTATGATACTCAGACTAAACAATAGACTGACAAATTATATGCTCAAAGACTGACCATAGTGCAGTTGTCAGTATAACAAAGCATAGGTAATGTGTTTAAAGAAATAAAAGATTCAGTGGGAGTGCCTGCCTTATAAGCATGAGGCTCAGAGTTCAAACCCCAGTACTACACAAAAAAAGGAAACAAAATAATGGAATTAAAATGAAAGAATAAGGGGCTGACAAATTTTTTAATTATTGTTTTATTATTCATATGTGCATACAAGGCTTGGGTCATTTCTCCCCCCTGCCCCCACCCCCTCCCTTACCACCCACTCCGCCCCCTCCGTCTCCTCCCCACAACCTCCATACCCGGCAAAAACTATTTTGCCCTTATCTCTAATTTTGTTGAAGAGAGAGTATAAGCAATAATAGGAAGGAACAAGGGTTTTTGCTAGTTGAGATAAGGATAGCTATACAGGGAGTTGACTCACATTACTTTCCTGTGCATGTGTGTTACCTTCTAGGTTAATTCTTTTGATCTAACCTTTTCTCTAGTTCCTGGTCCCCTTCTCCCATTGGCCTCAGTTGCTTTTAAGGTGTCTGCTTTAGTTTCTCTGCATTGAGGGCAACAAATGCTAGCTAATTTTTAGGTGTCTTACCTATCCTCATATCTCCCTTGTGTGCTCTCGCTTTTATCATGTGCTCAAAGAGGGGCTGATAAATTGACCAAGCAGGTAAAAAAAAGAATCAAACAGAATTCTAAAAACATAAAATATAATTAAAAATTATATGAACGACTAAAACAGAATGTGATATAATTCAAGAGTGAGTTAACAAATTGAGAGATACATAGGGAAGGAAGTCACAGAGAATCCAGTACATAGAGAAAAAAAATGTATTATATGACAACAAATCTAAGTAACATGAAGGTGAGCTCAAGAAGGAAAAACATTTTTCCAGTTAGAATTCTGAAAAGAAAGACTAGTGAGAAATGGTGAAGATAGAATGTTTGCAGATAATACTTGAGATTTTCCAAAGTGATGAAAGATACCCAGTCCTCAGGAATATCAAGAAATCCTAAATAAAAGATAAATTCACACCTAGGAATCAAAGAGTAAAACTGAAGAGTACAAGATAAAACAAAGCAAAACAACCAACCAACCAACTTACCACCAAACAGATCTTTAAAGAATTCACAGAGACAGGGGTTCCCATATAGGAAGGAATGACTAGTACCTTAACAATAGACTATTCAAGAACAATAATAGAAGCAAATGGGAATGGAATGATACTTTCAAAATATTGGGATAGAAAAACTATATACCTTATATAACTATTTGTCACATATAAAGATGTTTTATAGAAATATTTCGATATATTAAAATTGAACACAGTCACTATCTAAGGTCAACAGTAAAGAAACTTCTAAAGGATACTTTAAGAAGAAAAGTTAAGTATTCCGAAAGTAGTAGAAGGGATTCAGGAAGGAATGTTGAGCAAAAAAAAAATGTCAAATTTGTGGTGAAAAAACATGTTCCAGCAAGCACATTTAATAATGCTTCTAATGCCTTGTCTAGAATTTGAAATCGGCAAATAACTCAAAACTTAATTTGTAATAAAGTGTATAAAATAAATTAGGGAATATTTTTACTGTGGAGCATTATATAGCATTGGCAAATGAATGCTGTAAGCATTAACATGACGGAATAGGAAAAAGTGCACCAACAATATGTGTACAGTATGATTTCATTTATGTGAATTTAAAACAGGTAAAACTAAATATTTGTTTAGGAATAAACACCTACACATGATAGTTATATATACAAAGGAGTGATTAACACAAAATTCAGGATAGTTTTCTGTGGTAGCTGGGAGAAAGATTCACTGAGAGATGCTTCACTGAATTATTTTTATTCTATACAGTCTTTTCTACATGAATTTTGCAATAAATCTATTATTAAAAGGCCAGTAATTTAAGAAATAATAGGAAGAACACTCAGGATCCCTATCTGTAAGAGCCTTCAGTTATAAACAACCTTAGAAATTTTGAGTATTGGGGAAAAAAATCTGTTAAACATGACATGGTACAAAGTTTCCTGTTTCTATTCTCTAACTCCGTACATACCTCATCCTTGCCAAGTTATGTTTACCTGCATAGTGACATATAATAAAAAGTGTTTCATACTTTATTATTTGGAAAACCATTTTACCCTTCTTTCCTGATGTAATTATATTTGAATCTTCTAGGTCACAACTTTTGTGCTGAAGCACCTAAATGTGGTGAAAATTCAGAGTGCAAAAACTGGAATACGAAAGCTACTTGTGAGTGCAAGAATGGTTACATCTCTGTCCAGGGAGACTCTGCCTACTGTGAAGGTAAGTAGGGTTTTCGATGAAGTGACTTGTGAGAATTTAGCTGAGAAACGTGTTCTTGGCTTCTATAAGAAACAGAACAACAAACATGGCAGACCGTTCTCTTGGTTTATCCAGGCTGCTTAACAACATGAGAAAGCAAGACTTTGAAGGAATTTATGAAACACGGCAAAGCAACGTGTTCATGTCAAATCCCGTACTTCACTGTATATTACAATTAGCAGAACAACCATAAACACATAATTTTCTATTTTTATTGCCTGAGGAGATTGTCATCTCTAAGTTCAACTACGTATGATATGGTAGATTCTCTTTTCCAGTGACCCTTTGGCATTAGTTTATACCTGGCTATTATCTCTTTTGCTTGCCACGGTCAGACTTTTTAAATCTTTGCTAATCATCACAGTGACAGGACTCTACTTAGACACATGAGCCAATGCCATTATAATAGGGTTGTGGACTTTAGAATGACCCACATTTCCTCTTTACCGGGCAGAACAGCTCCTTAGCCTTTTCCAAACTTGCACTTCACCCTTCTAGTTGTGAGCACTGTACACCCCTATTGCTTTAACATGTGAGAGAAGTAGGGTTTAGCTCTGATCCAATTCTATGTGTATGGTGTCATAATATCTGAGTCCAAACATTTCTTACCTATATATAGAAGTTCTAATAGGCAAAGTGATGCTTGGGATGTTTCTCTGTTTGTCCTGGTTCCTGACATTCCAATAATTTCTTTTATCTTTACTAATAAAATACTGCGTCATGGTATGTTAGGAAGTTTTCTTGGCTTGAAAGAATGTTGCAACATCTGTCTTCTCTACTGCAAGTGATTTGGTTTTCAAGTGGATCAGGTGTTCTCAAGGCAAAAGTGGTATAGATAGAATGACAGCAAGGGTAAATTCCTTTCCGTATTACTGACCACATTTTTGCTTGGGCTGGCCTGAAGAGCTGTTTAGTCCTTAAAGAAATGTACTAATCACTTCTAGTGATTAGTTTCTTGTGGGTAGCTTCTGTCCTTTTTGTTTCCTCTAGAGGATGTTCTTGCTTACTGCCTTCCTTCTCATTAGCAATATTCTAACTAATGGAATTTTTCCTTTTTCTTTATTACCTTCTTTTCCTTTCTGCCTGATATATATAGATTTGAACTTGTTTATGAGGACACATCACTTGGGACAATAAAACTGCTCCTTTGATTATGAAACTTTTCATCTACCCTTTAATGTGATCTTAGTGATTTGTTAATTTGGGGGAAGAGGATTATCAACTTTAATACTTCACATTAATATCTACCCTTTAGATTTTTTTACCTTATGTATTTTCTATCAGAAACTTAAAGTAATTAAAATTTTCAGATGTGAACATTTTTCCCTCCATTCATTGTTAAAAAGTCCTAAAATCAGGTAATGGCTTAAAAACGTTCTCACTTTCTACTATATATGGATATGTGGGGATAGACGTGAACAATTACAGAAATGGTATCAAAAAAATTATATCCTGATCCTATGAACACTGGACTCACTACACCTACCACTCCTAGCTCTCCTCAGCTATTGAGACCTGAAAGATTTTGGGAGAAAATTGCTGGTGCTAATGCTGTTTGGGACTCTGATTCCCTCCAGCTTGATACCATTTTTTATTACATAGAATCAACTCCAAGAGAAGCCAACTGTGATATTAAAACTGCCCTTTCTACTTGAGACCTTTTGTAGGTTTGAATCACTGTTTTCTTGGACATGTTCCCACTTATCTCAGTGTATGAACCTGGCCTCAGGGCCACATGCATTGTGGTCACTTTGGGTGATGGTGATGTGCTTGGGCTTTAGTCTTTGCTATCATGGAGACTTCAAACAAGTACCAGAGAACTTGTTCATAAGAGAAGTTTAGCACCTAAGGAAAAGAGAGTGGAGATAGAAAAAAAGAGCTTGGGGGTAAAGCAGGGCTCACATGCTGGGCACGAAGAGCCAAATAGTGTGAATACCGACATTTAGAACAAATTCTTTTCCTCATGCCATCTGCCATCTTCAGCATATTGAATTTTGGTCATTGGGTTTATATCCCTGTGATTGCCTGGCACTGCCATAGTTCCAGTCATGGCGTCCTTCTATAGCATCTGAAGTAAGAAAGGAAGGAAGGGGCAGGAACCGAAGGCCTTCTCTGTGTAAGGTTCCTTTCATGTTCCATGAAATTCCTTCCTAGAATGCACCTCCCAATCCCTGTTGCTACATGCAGGAGACTTCCTATCCTATTCTTCAGACTTTGGTTATACCTCCATAACCTTAGCCTGTGTTTGTGAAAAGGGAAGGAAATGACTGCCACTAGTTTGGGCTAATTGTGTTCATCTCTTGGAGTATGACTTTTCTTTCTTGAAGCCAAAATGATGGATGCCCTTTGAACTAAATAAGGGGTAAGGATACAGAAAAGTGTGGGGATGGTTTGGGGGAGGACAAAAACTCTGTGTACCCTATTCTTTTATTAAATTTCATTCTTGGTCATTTTGCCAGCCCTCCAGGGTGATCTGGTAGACAAATTTAGAGGTAGGTACCAGAGACTGAGACTAGGCACATTAGCTCACTCTAACATAGAAAGAACTAGATACTATGAACTTCAGGCAAGATTTTTTTTACTCTGAGCAAATGAAGTGAAAACGACCCATATTATTAAAAGCCACAATGCACATGTCTAGCTTGCAAATTAAAACAAAATATTACACACATTGTCCAGGTTGTCTTGAAAACCTTTTCAGGCTCTTGGTGGAAAAAGAAGCACAAAAGCTTTCAACTTTTTTAACTTCCTAGGCAGTAGCAGAACTACAGTGTGTTAAGGACTCCTGCTCTGCAGAGATTGCTGTAGAAACTGCCGTAGAGAAGATATCGAACTACTAGCAATCAATAGAAGATAATAAGACCTTTTGTCAGCTATGATACAATTCATAGTTGTTGAATTAACAGGAGGCTGTTTCATTTTGTCTAGTGTGACTCAAGTAGGCACATTCCCCATTCTGAAAACTGCTTGAGTTGGACTATAGTGTTTTATGAGTCTAGTGGGCTGAAGATTTTTCTCTTTGTGATAACATTTTCAAATTGGTCCTAAATAGTTTCTGTTACAAAGTTTAAATTAGAAGTAGTGTCCAAGGAAACTATAGCAAGAGAGTTCTTACTGATGCTCTTATTCTTTGAATTTGGAGTCTATATAGATAGTGTCTCATATACTTCTTGTAGTAAAAAGTTGTTTAAAAGAATAGTATAATGTGATATGCCTCCTGCAATCTGCCAGGTATGGAAAATAGTTCAATTATCATTAAATGATCAGACCTTTTATTTGCAGAGTGCTCAGAGTTTTCTAGACTCCTTTTATATTTGTTACACTTTTTGAGACTTACAATAAATGTTTGAGGAAAGTGGCAGTCTTGGCCACCATCAACCCATCAACTCCATTTTATAAGTGCAGACACTAAGCCTCAGAGAAATTCAGTAAAGGTAAAATTCAACTCATTTCTACTCCAGGGCTTTTTGTACTCTTAACTTATGCTGCTGCCAACCCTCCCACCATTTACACTGTTTCAGAGTTATATTACTGTTCAAATAGTTGCTACCTCCTCTACTCATCATTCTGACATCCAACTTGGCCAAAGAAATATATGTCAGTGTGATTGTTTCATTTCAGAGGAGTCCACCTCATTTTCTTTACCCTCTGACACAAAAACTGGCAGTTTTTCAGATAAGGGCTTCTCCTTTAGCTAGGGTTCCAGAATGAAGATGACATGAGGCAGATGACAACAGACAGGTGATGGACAAGTGAGACAAGTGAGAAGTAGTCAGTCACATGTATCATTGAAATTTTTAGGTTTTGGTGTGCATGGGGGCAGCTATCTGTTACCTTTCCATAACTGTGCTAAGGTTACTGATACACCCATCTGAATTAATTGATCTAAAACTTATGGGAACCAGGAGACCAATGCTCATAAGTGAAAGCAATTTTTAATACAGCTATTACTGAGTGACCAGGAAAAAGCATAATTTGTTTGAATCATTAATAGCCTGGTCTGGCCCTGCAGCTAAGCAATAGATTTTTTTTTTGTTTTGTTTTGCAGACCACAGTTGTAAATCAGTGTTTTGTTATGCCAAATCCAACATGTAAATTGAATTTTCCAATTAACATGATAATGAGACAATGCATGTATACAATTTAGCAAATTGCGTAGTAGTATTCACTAAACATTTAATAGATTACAAGTTATCATTATCATAATTATTATAAGTATAATAAATATTAATATTTTTGACATCCTTTCTTGGATTTGAAGAAGCATATACTCTTTGAGGTCATTTCTTTGAGGAAGTAGAGTGTCTACATCTACACTTTTTGGAAGATCTGACAGGTAGCAGGGGAGAATGGTTTTAGATGGAAGGACCAGGTTCTGCCAGGGTTCTGTTGTTGGCAGTGGGTCAACAAGCATTATAGTTTATAAAAATGAACTTACTCCTTCCTCAGTAAAACACAAGTGGAGCTTTATTCAAGAAAATATTTTGAAAAAATTATCTGTATTGTACAAATTTAATAATTCCATGTAACTAAACTGGTGAGCTGTCTGAAGCACAGCAAGTAATTAGCAAAGTGATTTATAAGTTCTTTCACAGGATTGGTGGTGATGAGGAAGGGCCTGACCCTTTGACTGGTAGGAGGCTGGGAAAGTGGCAGAGAAACCAGAGTTCAAATAGGAAGTAGCCCATAGAATGGTAGCAAGGTGGAGATTTACTGGATGCAGAGCTACCATGAGTGTACTTCCACAGAAACCAGACTCTAAATTCCTGATTAAGAAAATTCATGGAGAAAACAGGTCAGTGTGCTTAATTACACTTCTAATTATCCAAGAATTAACCAGGTAACTCTTTGTATTTGAGATTTCTTTTTTACATTTAAGTGTTTTACATTTTACAAAATACATGAGCGTCATGGTCACATAGCCCAATTTATGCTCAAATCTGGGCTTCAAACTCTTGAAG